GCGGGGGGGGGGGGGAGCAGCAGGGCCTCCGTGGGCCAGATCTACTCGCTTGGTGGGCCGGCTTTGGCCCACGGAGGCCCTTTAGCCCACCCCTGCCCTAGGAGATGATAGTGGAACTCTCTCTCGGCTGAGTCCATGCTTGGCCTTAGAAATTCACACAGTGGAATTATGGCCAAAAAATACCTTTGTCATTGGATCATTTTAGATTCTAGTTCTAGGTTCCTAAATCAGGGATTCTTAACGCTTATTCACTAATCCTCCTGCTAGCGACTCTGACTCATTGGTTCACTGTGGAGGCTGTTGCTCTGGAGAGTTCTAGATGAAATTTTCATAACCCCAAATCCTTTCATTACCAGCAGACCCCCTAGTAAACAAAATCTCCATGTGCCTGTGGATTTCTCCTGGATAATTAAATCTCAGCAGCTGTTTATTTTCCTGCGCATGACCCTGTCAATGAGCTCTGAGGAAGGGGAAGGAAGAAATGGTGCAAAACTCCTGTGTTTTCTAAAACACAATAACATGAGCGAGTTGCCCATGAAAATTCCCTACTGCTGCCAGACCACATCTCCCAGCAAAATGCAGGACAATGTAGCACTTTAAAGACTAACAAGATGGTTTATTAGATGATGCGCTTTCGTGGGCCAGACCCACTTCCTCAGATCAAATAGTGGAAGAAAGTAGTCACAACCATATATACCAAAGGATACAATTTAAAAAAATGAACAAATATGAAAAGGACAAATCACATTGCAGAACAGAAGGAGGAGGCGGGGGGGTGGGAAGGGGGAGGAAGGAAGGTAAGTGTCTGTGAATTGATGATATTAGAGGTAGGGAGAGTGGGATGTTTGTGAGTTAATGGTATTACAGGTGATAATTGGGGAAACTGTCTTGATAATGGGTGAGAAAGTTCAAAGACTTGTTAAGTCCCTGGTGGTAAGTGTCGAATTTTAACATGAATGACAGTTCAGAGGATTCCCTTTCAAGTGCAGATGTAAAAGGTCTTTGTAGCAGAATGCAGGTGGCTAAGTCATTTAGAGAGTGTCCTTTCTGGTTAAAGTGGCAAGAAACTGTTTTCTCTTTGTGTCCCAGCTTTCTCTTGCAGAGAAATCAGTAACTCAGCACAAGCTGAAAATGACAGTATTGGGCATTAGGAAAAAAGGAAGATGGGCTAACGAAGAAGGGGAACAAAAACAGCACAAAGACATAACAGAATAGGGCAAGAGAGGGGTACAAGGGAGACCAGCGAATGAGCTTGAGCTGTGGGGAGAATGGATTTTGGGACATTAGACACAAGGAGATGCATGAGTGGGGAGGAGATACCAAGTGCTAGTCAGGGTCTTCCAAGATAGGGTAACTTGACTATGACCATTGTCAAAGTCAGACAGGACTCACAGATTTGTCAGACCGCTCTGTTTATTAGCAAAGCTGCTCTGCTAAATTAACCCAGAAAATGTGAGTGCTGTACAAGGTTCAAACCCCTTGATTTATACAGTCAAAAGAAAGTCAAAATTAACAGGATTAAAAGGGGGCAAAACTTCACATAATTAGTGTGAGGCTAGTCAAGTATCTTCATTTCCACATCAAGCACACAGCAATCTCCTGTCCATATCTCCTTGGTTATCTCACTTGCGTTCTCCCTAACACCTAATGTTCCTTTTCCTATTAACTCTGGCTAGCACTCTGGAATCTGCATACCTACAAACAACATTAATATCCTTTTCTTCTTCCTGTTCAGAGACAAACAGTATTCCTTCAACTTATTCAATTATTACAGCATAATTCATCTTTCTCTTACAGTATAATTCTTTCTACTTTCACACCATGCTAGGTTTTCTTGTGCTGTTGACAGTTATTGTTACTACTCAATAATCCTGCCATTTTCTCCTCCGTCCTGCATAGCCAGCACTAACTAGTGGAATCTCTGGTGCCATTAAGTTTAGAAACAATGAGCAGTCCCATGCCACTAGGAAATTATTTCGAAATAATGA